AGTCTCTCAAGATTTGATTTGTGACAAAAGAGATAATTAATTAATATGTTAAAAAAATGTTTTTTTCTCATTATATCCACCACTGAAAAAAATTTTAAAAAGTATCTCCTTTGCATGGCTGTGTTACGTGCCATGAATAGATTGCCTGCATTTTGGCTATATGTCATTAAATGCCGATCATGGTCTAGTGTCAGCTTCCAGAGAGAGGGTTAGCCAGGCATCAATGTACAGTCTCTTTAAGATTTGCTTATGTTACATACGGTTTTATTTCTGGCTTTAAAAATATTCAATTTAATGTTTAGGTTTTATTAGCCAAAAAACAATACAAAACAAAAAAGACCTGGAGCACAGCTGAATTCCTGGAACATGTCCGTTTGATTTGAGTTTTCCATTTAAAAACAACCCATTGCCATTGAATCGGTTCTGACTCATAGCAACCCTATAGGACAGAGTAGAACTACCTTGTAGGGTTTCCACGGAGCGGCTGGTGGATTCGAACTGCTGACCTTTTGGTGAGCAGCCAAGCTCTTAACCACTGCACCACCACGGCTCTGAGTTTCCTGTTAGAGTGCTTTAATGACATTTCCCTTTCCAATGTTCAATGAGGGGTTTAGAAGCACATGCAGTATTTATGTTAAGTGATAATAAGTATAAGTGACCTAGGCATCTTCAGGAGTCCCTGGATGATGTAAACAGTTGATGTGCTCAGCTACTAACAGAAAGGTTGAAGCTTTGAGTCTGCCCAGAGACATCTCGTAAGAAAGGCCTCATGATCCACCTCTAAAGAATCAGCCATTGAAAACTCTATGGAGCACAGTTCTGCCAGGGGGTCATCATGAGTTGGCATCAACTCAACGGCAACTGGTTTAGGCATCTTCAACTAAAACTTTTTCTTAGTAAAGTGCTAATTTGATTGCCAATCTTTTCTCCATAGAATGAACTGAGTGCAGCAACACACCTGACTTCAAAACTTCTAAAAGAATATGAGAAACAGGTACTGTATATGAAAGCTTTGAAAGCCTATTTTAAAATATGCAGTGATATAGCATCTGTGTAGATAAACAGGATTTTCTCATCAGGAATCCTTAAACTTTCTCAGACTTA